GTTGTGTTCTGTAACAAAATATCAACTAGTAAATGGTAAAGGGCCCCCTAATAATGGGGGTGGGCCTTTCCATCCAATTGTTAGTGCTTTGCAATCTAAATTGCAAAACATTGGACAATTTTTGTAGTTTTAGTGAATAATTCATAAAACTCAATCCCCAATCAAGAATCCAACTCCCCATTCTAACTGAACTTAAAATAGGATAAATTTCTCAACTTAGGTGCATACATACAAGTGATGTAGCTCATTTTGGCTCTTCTACGTCTTACATTTAAGATGGAAAAACCAACAAAACTACAATAGAAGATATCGTAATGTAACTCACATGTTCAAAGGTTGCCACATATAGTTTAGGATCAAATTATCAAAGCACTAGTGTCCATCAATGCTAACATCCTTAGTGAATTGGGAAAGGAGAACAAAATTGTGAGGAATACACAGCAAGTATATTCAAAATTAAGCCACAAGTAATTTGATACCATACATTATTAAACAAAGGCATTTGGTATCCATTTCATGCATTGCAAAGTGGAGTATTTGTTGATGATTCCATTACCTAGGGCTAAATAAGGGAACTACCCTGGGTCTTTAATGAGGAATAAGTACAAAACAAGTTAAAAGCTAAACTCATAAGGATAAATCTACAATGAATAAGTGAACTAAGATAGCTTTGATCAGTTCTATTCCAGACATACATACCTACAATTGGCATTGTGCAAGTGACAATGAATGCACACAATATAGTGGAAAGTGACTTCTTCAAAATTTGTGAAAGGTGATGACAGCATGAAAATGTATATTTAAAATGTGTTTAACCATTGACATTTGTGAAATTATGGACTTAAGAGTTGTATTTTTTTATAAATAATTTCATAAGTATTCATTCTATTCATGTTGTGCAAATGTTTTATGATTGAAGGTTTGATAATTAAATTGAGAAAATTAGAAGAAAAGGACTTAAATGCAAAGAGTCAAAAAGATAAAGGTCTAAGTATCAAATTTGGAAGTTTGAAGGCTCACATGGGATTTTCTCCATTTTTAACTAACGAGCAAAGTACATGAAGTTGACGTGTTAATGAGTTGTTTGAACCTATTTTTAGATTCTAACCCCTGACCAATGCAAAAGGAAAAATAGAAACATTTAGGGTTCCGCACCCTATGGCCAAGTTCCAACCCCTGGTTAGTTTGTGCACAAAAATAGAAACATTCAAGGTTCCACACCCTAACTTAAGGTTCCAACTCTTGTCTAACAAGATTGTGCAAGAAGAAAGAAAAAAATAAAATTAATTTCCCAAGGCTGTTATCTCATTTACCAAACATTCCTATCTTATTTCTAATATAAATAGAAGTCTTCTAAACTAGGTTTAAGATTCGAGGAGTGTCAAAGTGTAGCTAAACTTTAGACAATGATAGGGAGGATATTGATTGAGGAGTTTGACTTGTTATTTTATTTTAATTCTTTCATAGATTTTATCGTTTAATTTTATTTTTGAAAAATTATTAAATATTTTTATCGTTCAGTTTTATTTTTGAAAGATTATTAATTATTTTTAAATTTGAAAACCTTGAATGTTATATTCATCAAATTTCATAAAAAAAAATTAGTCTGCTCTTTTTATGTGTAATTTGTTAGAATATAATTGCTTGGTAGATTTGTTTTACGGGTTGATCTTTTATAGTAATATTGTTAATTAGATACATTGTTGCTCTCGAATAACTCGTAATGATAGATTAGTTTGCTCTATATTGAAATTAATTTCTTTCAAAATAAAAACATTAGTTATTGTTATTAGTCTTCAAAGTTATATCTTCCAATTGTTTGGGATGTGAAACATACAATTGAGTAATAAATAAGAATAAAAATTCATAATAGTTGAACAAATCAATTTAGTGAACCCTAGAATCTTATTCATCATAATATTGTTTTCAATTCTTTTATAATTATCATCTTTTTATTTAAATAATTTTATTCTTAACTTAAGAAATTATCTTTTAATTTAATTTCATTATGATAATTCTTTTTGTTGGTTTAATATAGCTTCCCTGTGAATTTGACACCTAAAACTATGTTATAACAACTATTTAGCTGAAAAGTATTAATTTTGGAATGAGACATTAACAGGCCTAAAAAACCATAAAACTAAACATACCATAAGGCATATATTTTGATTTAAAAATTTTGCAAGGGGTAACAAGCTAATCCATTAATCATAGCACAAAAGATAGAAGATAAAAGAAAGAAATGACGCATAGTTCAAATGAATAGGGCAAATCCCCTATTTATATTCTGTATATTATTTTTTTAGGATAAATATCCTCAAAAATTTTTATTCTGAATTAACACTATTTATAATTTAAACCTCATAAAAAAAACCTAAAAATTAATGACCAAACCCCTTATTTTGCTCCTTGTATATATATATATATATATATAAGGTGCGAACCAAGGTTTTTAAAACCGGACCGGACCGGCCGGTTGAACCGGTCGGACCGGTACCCGGTCATGAAAACGGTTTGATTCATATAAGAAAACCGTTTTAGGTCAAAACCGGTCAAAACCGATAAAACCGATAAAACCGATAAAAATCGGTCAAAAACCAGTAAAACCGATAAAAACCGGTAGAACCGGTGAAACCAGAAAAAC